TCCATGAGTTTGCCTAGTCCACGAGCTTGCGTGGTCCAAGAACTTGCCTTGTCTAGGAGCTTGCCTGGTCCAGGAGCGTGCCTGGTCCAGGAGCTTGCGTGGTCCAGGAGCTTGCCTGGTCAAGGAGCTTGCCTGGTCCAGGAGCTTGCCTGGTCAAGGAGCTTGCCTATTCTAGGAGCGAGCCTAGTCCAAGAGCTTGCCTGGTCCAGGAGCTCGCCTGGTCCAGGAGCTTGCGTGGTCCAGGAGCGTGCCTGGTCCACGAGTTTGCCTGGTCCACAAGCTTGCTTGGTCCAAGAGCTTGCCTTGTCTAGGAGCTTACCTGGTCCAGGAGCGTGCCTGGTCCAAGAGCTTGCCTGGTCCATGAGCTTGCCTGGTCCAGGAGCTTGCATGGTCTTGGAGCTTGCCTGGTCCAGGAGCTTGCCTGGTCCAGGAGCTTGCCTGGTCCAGGAGCGTGCCTTGTCCACGAGTTTTCCTAGTCCACGAGCTTGCCTTGTCCAAGAGCTTGCCTTGTCCAGGAGCTTGCCTGGTCCAGGAGCGTGCCTGGTCTGGGAGCTTTCCTTGTCCAAAAGCTTGCCTGGTCCAGGAGCTTGCCTGGTCTAGGAGCTTGCTTGGTCCTGGAGCTTGCTTGTTCTAGGAGGGTGCCTGGTCTAGGAGCTTGCCTCGTCCAGAAGCTTGTCTGGTCCAGGAGCTTGCCTGGTCCATGAGCTTGCCTGTTCTAGGAGCGTGCCTGGTCGAGGAGCGTGCTTTGTCCAAGAGCTTGCCTAGTCCAGGAGCTTGCCTGGTCCAGGAGCTTGCGTGGTCCAGGAGTGTGCCAAGTCCATGAGCTTGCCTGGTCTAGGAGCTTGACTGGTCCAAGAGCTTGCCCGGTCCAGGAGCTTGCTGGTCGAGGAGCTTTTCTCGTCCTGGAGCTTGCCTGGTCTGGGAGCTTCCCTGATCAAGGAGCTTGCCTGGTCTAGGAGCTTGCTTGAGCCACGAGCTTGCCAGGTCCAGGAGCTTGCTTGGTCTAGGAGCGTGCTTGTTCCAGGAGCGTGCCTGGTCCAGGAGCTTGCCTGGACTAGGAGCGTTCGTGGTCCACGAGCGTGCCTAGTCCAGGACCTTGCCTGGTCTAGAAGCTTGCCTGGTCCAGGACCTTGCTTGGTCCAGGAGCTTGCCTGGTCCAAGAGCTTGCTGGTCCAGGAGCTTGCCTGGTCTAGGAGCTTGCTTGGTCCAGAAGCATTGCGTGTCCAAGAGTTTGCCTGGTCCAAGAGCGTGCTTGGTCCATGAGCTTGCGTGGTCTAGGAGCTTGCCTTGTCCAGGAGCTTGCCTGGTCCAGGAGCTTGCCTGGTCCACGAGCGTGCCTGGTCCAGGAGCTTGCCTGGTCAAGGAGCTTGCCTGGTCTAGGAGTTTGCCTGGTCCAAGAGCTTGCATGGTCCAGGAGCTTGCCTAGTCCAGGAGCTTGCATGGTCCAGGAGCTTGCCTGGTCCAGGAGCTTGCCTGGTCCCGGAGCGTGCCGGGTCCAGGAGCTTGACTCGTCCAGGAGCTTGCCTGGTTTAGGAGCTTGCCTGGTCTAGGAGCTTGCCTGGTCCAGGAGCTTGCGTAGTCCAGGAGCTTGTCTAGTCCAGGAGCTTTTCTGGTCCAGGAGCTTGCCAGGTCCAAGAGCTTGCCTGGTCCAAAAGCTTGCGTTGTCCAGGAGCTTTCCTTGTCCAGAAGCTTGCCTGGTCCAGGAGCGTGCCTCGTCCACGAGCGTGCTTGGTCCAGGAGCTTGCCTGGTCCAGGAGCTTGCCTAGTCCAGGAGCTTGCCTGGTTTAGCAACGTCATGGTCCACGAGCCTTCTTGGTCCAAGAGCTTGCCTGGTCCAGGAGCGTGCCTGGTCCAGGAGCTTGCTTGGTCCAGGAGCTTGCCTGGTCCAGGAGCTTGCGTGGGCCACGAGCTTGCTTGGTCCAAGAGCTTGCCTGGTCCAAGAGCTTGCCTAGTCCATGAGCGTGCGTGGTCCAAGAGCTTGCCTGGTCCAGAAGTTTGCCTGGTCCACGAGCGTGCCTGGTCCAGTAGCTAGCTTGGTCCTGAAGCCTGCCTGGTCCAAGACGTTGCCTGGTCCAGGAACGTGCCTGGTCCAAGAGCTTGTGTGGTCTAGGAGCTTGCCTGGTCATGGAGCTTGCCTTTTCTAGGAGCTTGCCTGGTCCAAGAGCTTGCCTGGTCCACGAGCTTGCCTGGTCTAGGAGCTTGCCTGGTCTAGGAGATTGCCTGGTCCAGGAGCATGCCTGGTCTCAGAGCTTGCGTGGTCCAGGAGCTTGCCTCGTCCAGGAGCTTGCCTGGTCTAGGAGCGTGCATGGTCCACGAGCTTTCCTGGTCCAGGAGCTTGCGTGGTCCAGGAGCTTGCGTGGTCCAGGAGCGTGCCGTGTCCACGAGCTTGCCTGGTCCAGGAGCATGCCTGGTCCACGAGCGTGCCTAGTCCACGAGCGAGCCTGGTCCACGAGCTTGCCTGGTCCAGGAGCGTGCCTGGTCCACGAGCTTGCTTGGTCAAGGAGCTTGCTTGGTCTAGGAGCTTGCCTGCTCCAGCAGCCTGCCTGGTCCAAGAGCTTGCCTTGTCCAGGAGCGTGCCTGGTCCACGCGCGTGCCTGGTCCAGGAGCTTGCATGGTCCAGGAGCTTGCCTGGTCAAGGAGCTTGCCTTGTCCAGGAGTGTGCCTGGTCCAGGAGTGTGCCTGGTTCAAGAGCTTGCTTGGTCCAGAAGCTTGCTTGATCCAAGAGCTTGCCTGGTCTAGGAGCTTGCGTGGTCCATGAGCGTGCCTCCTCCAAGTGCTTGCCTGGTCCAGGAGCTTGCCTTGTCTAGAAGCTTGCCTGGTCCAGAGCTTGCCTGGTCCTGGAGCGTGCCTGGTCCACGATTTTGCCTGGTCCAGAAGCTTGCCTGGTCCAGGAGCTTGGCTGGTCTAGGAGCTTGCATGGTCCAGGAGCGTGCCTGGTCCAGGAGCTTGCCTATTCCAGAAGCTATCCTGGTCCAAGAGCTTGCCTGGTCCACAAGCTTGCCTGGTCCAGGAGCTTGCCTGTTCCAGGAGCGTGCCTGGTCTAGGAGCTTGCCTTGTCTAGGAGCTGCCTGGTCCAGGAGCTTGCCTGGTCCAGGAGCGTGCCTGGTCCAGGAGCTTGCCTGGTCCAGGAGCTTGCCTGGTCCAGGAGCTTGCCTGGTCCACGAGCTTGCCTAGTCAAGGAGCTTGTCTGTTCTAGGAGCGAGCCTGGTCTAGGAGCTTGCCTTGTCCAGGAGCTTGCCTGGTCCAGGAGCTTGCTTGGTCCAAGAGCGTGCCTAGTCCAGGAGCTTGCCTGGTCCAGGAGCTTGCCTGGTCTAGGATCTTTCCTCGTCAAGGAACTTGCCTGGTCCTGGAGCGTGCTTGGTCCACGAGTTTGCGTGGTCCAGGAGCTTGCCTGGTCCAGGAGCTTGCCTGGTCCAGGAGCTTGCCTGGTCTAGGAGCTTGCCTGGCTCACGAGCCTGCCTGGTCCAAGGGCTTGCCTGGTCCACGAGCGTGCGTGGTCCACGAGCGTGCCAAATCCAGGAGCTTGCCTGGTCCAGGAGCTTGCTTGGTCTAGAAGCTTGCCTGGTCCAGGAGCTTGCCTGGTCCAGGAGCTTGCCTGGTCTAGGAGCTTGCCTGGTCCAGGAGCGTGCCTGGTCCACGAGTGTGCCTGGTCCAGGAGGTTGCCTGGTCCAGGAGCTTGCCTGGTCCAGGAGCTTGCTTGGTCTAGGAGCATGCCTGGTTCACGAGCCTGCCTGGTCCAAGAGCTTGCGTGGTCCACGACCGTGCCTGGTCCACGAGCGTGCCTGATCCAGGAGCTTGCCTGGTCTAGGAGCTTGCTTGGTCTAGAAGCTTGCCTGGTTTGGGAGCTTACCTGGTTCAGGAGCTTGCCTGGTCCAGGAGCTTGCCTCGTCCAGGAGGTTGCGTGGTCCCGAAGCCTGCCTGGTCCAAGAGCTTGCCTGTTCTAGGAGCGTGCCTGGTCCAAGAGCTTGCGTGGTCCTGGAGCTTGCGTGGTCCAGGAGCTTGCCTGGTCCAGGACTAGACACATTCCAGGACCTGGCACGCTCCTGGACCAGGCCAGCTCCTGAACCAGGCAAGCTCCTTGATGAGGCAAGCTCTTGGACCAGGCAAGCTTGTGGACTAGGCAAGCTCTTGGACCAGGCAAGCTCTTGGACCAGGCAAGCTCGTGGACCAGGCAAGCTCCTTGACCAGGCACGCTCCTAGACGAGGCAAGCTTATGGACTAGGCACTCTTCTGGACTAGACACATTCCAGGACCTGGCACACTCCTGGACCAGGCCAGCTCCAGAACCAGGCAAGCTCCTTGACGAGGCAAGCTCTTGGACCAGGCAAGCTTGTGGACTAGGCAAGCTCTTGGACCAGGCAAGCTCTTGGACCAGGCAAGCTCGTGGACCAGGCAAGCTCCTTGACCAGGCACGCTCCTAGACGAGGCACGCTCCTGGACAAGACAAGCTCCTTGATGAGGCAAGCTCCTAGACCAGGCAAGCTCTTGGACCCGGCATGCACCTGGACCTGACAAGCTCTTGGACCTGGCAAGCTCTTGGACCAGTCAAGCTCCGTGACCAGGCAAGCCTTTGGACCAGGCAAGCTCCTGGACCAGGCAAGCTCCTCGACCAAGGACGCTCCTGGACCAGACAAGCTCTAGGACGAGGCTAGCTCGTGGACCAGGCAAGCTCCTGGACTAGGCACGCTCCTGGACCAGGCAAGCTCCTGGACCAGGCACGCTCTTGGACCAGGCAAGCTCCTAGACCGGGCACGCTCCTGGACCAGGCAAGCTCCTGGACCAGGCGAGCTCATGGACCAGGCGCATTTTAGCTTCAGGCACGCTTTTGGACCAGGCCAGCTCCTGGACCAGGCAAGCTCCTTGACGAGGCGACCTCCTCGACCAGGCAAGCTCTTAGACTAGGCATGCTCCTGGACTAGGCAAGCTCTTGGACCGAGCAAGCTCTTGGACCAGGCAAGCTCCTAGACCAGGCAAGCTCTTGAACCAGGCAAGTTTTTCGATCAGGCAAGCTCCTTCTCCAAGCAAGCTCCTAGACCAGGCACACTCGTGGACCAGGAAAGCTCCCGGACCAGGCAAGCTCCTGGATAAGGCAAGCTCTTTGACGCGGCAAGCTCCTTGACCAGGTAAGCTACTGGACCTGGCAAGCTCTTAGACAAGGCAAGCTCTTGGACCAGGCAAGCTCCTAGACAAGGCAAGCTCCTGGACCAGGCAAGCTCCTGAACCAAGCAAGCTCCTGGACCAGGCAAGCCCCTGAATCACGCAAGCCCTTGGACCAGGCACGCTCGTCGACCAGGCAAGCTCCACGTCCACGTCCACGTCCATGTCCACGTCCTCGTCCACGTCCACGTCCACGTCCACGTCCTCCACGTCCACGTCCACGTCCACGTCCTCGTCCACGTCCACGTCCACGTCCATGTCCATGTCCACGTCCACGTCCACGTCCATGTCCACGTCCACGTCCACGTCTACGTCCACGTCCACGTCCATGTCCACGTCCACGTCCACGTCCACGACCATGTCCACGTCCACGTTCACGTCCACGTCCACGTCCACGTCCATGTCCACGTCCACGTCCACGTCCACGTCCAGGTCCACGTCCACGTCCATGTCCACGTCCATGTTCATGTCCACGTCCACGACCACGTCCACGTCCACGTCCACGACCATGTCCACCTCTATGTCCACGTCCACGTCAACGTCCACGTCCATGTCCACGTCCACGTCCATGACCATGTCCACGTCCACGTTCACGTCCACGTCCACGTCCACGACCACGTCCACGTCCACGTCCACGTCCACGTCCACGTCCTCCACGTCCACGTCCACGTCCACGTCCTCGTCCACGTCCACGTCCATGTCCACGTCCACGTCCACGTCCACGTCCATGTCCACGTCCACGTCCACGTCTACGTCCACGTCCACGTCCATGTCCACGTCCACGTCCACGTCCACGACCATGTCCACGTCCACGTTCACGTCGACGTCCACGTCCACATCCACGTCCATGTCCACGTCCACGTCCACGTCCACGTCCAGGTCCACGTCCACGTCCATGTCCACGTCCATGTTCATGTCCACGTCCACGACCACGTCCACGTCCACGTCCACGACCATGTCCACCTCTATGTCCACGTCCACGTCAACGTCCACGTCCATGTCCACGTCCACGTCCATGACCATGTCCACGTCCACGTCCACGTCCACGTCCACGTCCACGACCATGTCCACGTCCACGTCCACGTCCACGTCCACGTCCATGTCCACGTCCACGTCCACGTCCACGTCCACCTCCACGTCCATGTCCACATCCACGTCCACGTCCACGTCCACATCCACGTCCACGTCGTTGTCCATGTCCACGTCCACGTCCACCTCCATGTCCTCGACCATGTCAACGTCCACGTCCACGTCCAAGTCCACGTCCGTATCCACGTCCACGTCCACGTCCGTGTCCACGTCCACGTCGTGGACAACCACGTCCACGCCTACGACCATGTCCACGACCACGACCACGTCCATGTCCACGTCAACGACCATGTCTACGTCTACGTCCACGTCCACGTCCACGTCCACGTCCATGTCCACGTCCACGTCCACGTCCATGTCCACGCGTCCACGTCCACGTCCACGTCCACGTCCACGACCACGTCCACGTCCACGTCCACGTATACGTCCACGTCCACGTCCATGTCCACGTCCACACGTCCACGTCCACGTCCACGTCCAAGTCCACGTCCACGTCCACGTCCACGTCCACGTCCATGTCCACGTCCACGTCCACGTCCACGTCCACGTCCATGTCCACGACCATGTCCAGGTCCACGACCACGTCCACGTCCACGTCCACGTCCACGTCCATGTCCACGTCCACGTCATCGTCCACATCCACGTCCATGTCCACGTCCACGTCCATGTCCACGTTCACGTCCATGTCCACGTCCACGTCCACGTCCAGGCACGCTCCAGGACCAGGCCAGCTCCTGGACCAGGCAAGCTCCTTGATGAGGCAAGCTCCTAGACCAGGCAAGCTCTTGGACCCGGCATGCACCTGGACCTGACAAGCTCTTAGACCAGTCAAGCTCTTGGACCACTCAAGCTCCTGGACTAGGCAAGCTCTTGGACCAGGCAAGCTCCTGGACCAGGCAAGCTCCTGGACCAGGCAAGCTCCTTGACCAAGGACGCTCCTGGACCGGACAAGCTCTAGGACGAGGCTAGCTCGTGGACCAGGCAAGCTCCTGGACTAGGCACACTCCTGGACCAGGCAAGCTCATGGACCAGGCACGCTCCTAGACCAGGCAAGCTCCTGGACCGGGCACGCTCCTGGACCAGGCAAGCTCCTGGAGCAGGCAAGCTCATGGACCAGGCGCATTTTAGCTTCAGGCACGCTTTTGGACCAGGCCAGCTCCTGGACCAGCCAAGCTCCTTGACAAGGCAACCTCCTCGACCAAGCAAGCTCTTAGACTAGGCATGCTCCTGGACTAGGCAAGCTCTTGGACCGAGCAAGCTCTAGGACCAGGCAAGCTCCAGGACCAGGCAAGCTCTTGGACCAGGCAAGCTTTTGGATCAGGCAAGCTCCTTCTCCAAACAAGCTCCTAGACCAGGCACACTCCTGGACCAAGAAAGCTCCTGGACAAGGCAAGCTCCTGGATAAGGCAAGCTCTTTGACGCGGCAAGCTCCTAGACCAGGTAAGCTCCTGGACCTGGCAAGCTCTTATACAAGGCAAGCTCTTATACAAGGCACGCTCGTCGACCAGGCAAGCTCCACGTCCACGTCCACGTCCCCGTCCTCGTCCAAGTCCAAGTCCACGTCCACGTCCACGTCCTCCACGTCCACGTCCACGTCCACGTCCTCGTCCACGTCCACGTCCACGTCCATGTCCACGTCCACGTCCACGTCCATGTCCACGTCCACGTCCACGTCCACGTCCACGTCCACGTCCACGACCTTGTCCACGTCCACGTTCACGTCCACGTCCACGTCCACGTCCACGTACACGTCCATGTCCACGTCAACGTCCACGTCCACGTCCACGTCCATGTCCACGTCCGGGTCCACGTCCACGTCCACGTCCATGTCCACGTCCACGTCCGGGTCCACGTCCACGTCCACGACCACGTCCACGTCCACGTCCACCTCCACCTCCACGTCCTTGACCATGTCAACGTCCACGTCCACGTCCACGTCCACGTCCGCGTCCACGTCCGCGTCCACGTCCGCGTCCACGTCCACGTCCACGTCCACGTCCACGTCGTGGACGACCACGTCCACGTCTACGACCACGTCTACGACCACGACCACGTCCATGTCCACGTCCACGACCATGTCTGTGCCACGTCCAAGACCATGTCCACGTCCACGTCCACGTCCATGTCTACGACCACGTCCATGTCCGCGTCCACGTCCACGTCCACGTCCATGTCCACGTCCACATCCACGTCCACGTCCACGTCCATGTCCACGTCCATGACCATGTCCACGTCCACGTCCACGTCCACGTCCACGACCATATCCACGTCCACGTCCACGTCCATGTCCACGTCCACGACCATGTCCACGTCCACGTCCACGTCCACGTCCACGACCATATCCACGTCCACGTCCACATCCACATCCACGTCCACGTCCACGTCCATGTCCACGTCCACGTCCACGTCCACGTCCACGTCCACGTCCACGTCCACGTCTACGTCCATGTCCACGTCCACGTCCACGTTCACGTCCACGTCCACGTCCACGTCCACGACCATGTCCACGTCCACGTCCAAGTCCACGTCCACGTCCACGTCCACGTCCAGGAGGTTGCCTGGTCTGGGAGCTTGCCTAGTCCAGGAGCTTGCCAGGTCCAGGAGCCTGCCTTGTCCACGAGTTTGCCTAATCCTGAAGCTTGCCTGGTCCAGGAGCTTGCGTGGTCCAAGAGCTTGCCTGGTCCAAGAGCTTTCGTGGTTTAAGAGCATGCCCTGTCCAGGAGCTTGGCTGGTCCACGAGCATGGCTGGTCCACGAGCTTGCCTGGTCTAGGAGCTTGCGTGGTCCAGGACCTTGCCTGGTCTAGGAGCTTGCGTGGTCCAGAAGCCTGCCTGGTCCAGGAGCTTGCCTGGTCCAGTAGCTTGCTTGGTCCAAGAGCTTGCCTCTTCCAAGATCTTGCCTGGTCTAGGAGCTTGCCTAGTCCAGGAGCGTTCGTGGTCCAGGAGCTTGCCTTGTCTAGGAGCTTGCCTGGTCCAGAAGCTTGCCTTGTCCAAGATCTTGCTTGGTCCAGGAGCGTGCCTGGTCCACGAGTTTGCATGGTCCAGGAGCTTGCCTGGTCCAAGAGCTTGCCCGGTCTAGGAGCTTGCCTGGTCCAAGAGCGTGCGTGGTCCAAGAGCTTGCCTGGTCCAGGAGCTTGCCTGGTCCAACATCTTGCCTGGTCCAGGAGCTTTGCCTTGTCCAGGAGCTTGCCTGTTCCAGGAGCGTGCCTGGTCCAAGAGCCTGCCTTGTCATGGAGCTTTCTTGGTCCGTTAGCTTGCCTCGGACCAGGCAAGCTCCAGGATTTGGCAGGCTCCAGGACCAGGCAAGCTCCTAGACGAGGCAAGCTTCTGGACTATGCACTCTCCTGGACTAGGCCAGCTCCTGAACCAGGCAAGCTCCTTGACGAGGCAAGCTCTTGGACAAGGCAAGCTTGTGGACTAGGCAAGCTCTTGGACCAGGCAAGCTCTTTGACCAGGCAAGCTCGTGGACCAGGCAACCTCCTTGACCAGGCACGCTCCTAGACGAGGCAAGCTCATGGACTAGGCACGCTCCTGGACAAGACACATTCCAAGACCAGGCACGCTCCAGGACCAGGCCAGCTCCAGGACCAGGCAAGCTCCTTAATGAGGCAAGCTCCTAGACCACGCAAGCTCTTGGACCCGGCATGCACCTGGACCAGACAAGCTCTTGGACCAGTCAAGCTCTTGGACCAGTCAAGCTCCTTGACCAGGCAAGCTCTTGGACCAGTCAAGCTCCTGGACCAGGCAAGCTCCTGGACCAGGCAAGCTCCTCGACCAGGGACGCTCCTGGACCAGACAAGCTCTAGAACGAGGCTAGCTCGTGGACCAGGCAAGCTCCTGGACTAGGCACGCTCCAGGACCAGGCAAGCTCCTGGACCAGGTACGCTCCTGGACCAAGCAAGCTCCTGGACTGGGCACGCTCCTAGACCAGGCAAGCTCCTGGACCAGGCAAGCTCATGGACCAGGCGCATTTTAGCTTCAGGCACGCTTTTGGACCAGGCCAGCTCCTGGACCAGCCAAGCTCCTTGACGAGGCAACCTCCTCGACGAGGCACGCTCTTAGACTAGGCATGCTCCTGGCTAGGCAAGCTCTTGGACCGAGCAAGCTCTAGGACCAGACAAGCTCCTGGACAAGGCAAGCTCTTGGACCAGGCAAGCTTTTGCCTCAAGCAAGCTCCTTCTCCAAGCAAGCTCCTAGACAAGGCACACTCCTGGACCAGGAAAGCTCCTGGACCAGGCAAGCTCCTGGATGAGGCAAGCTCTTTGACGCGGCAAGCTCCTAGACCAGGTAAGCTCCTGGACCTGGCAAGCTCTTATACAAGGCAAGCTCCTGGACCAGGCAAGCTCCTAGACAAGGCAAGCTCCTGGACCAGGCAAGCTCCTGGACCAAGCAAGCTCCTGGACCAAGCAAGCTCCTGGATCACGCAAGCCCTTGGACCTGGCACGCTCGTCGACCAGGCAAGCTCCACGTCCACGTCCACGTCCACGTCCACGTCCTCCACGTCTACGTCCACGTCCACGTCCACGTCCACGTCCACGTCCACGTCCACGTCCATGTCCACATCCACGTCCATGTCCATGTCCACGTCCACGTCCACGTCTACGTCCACGTCCACGTCCATGTCCACGTCCACGTCCACGTCCACGTCCACAACCATGTCCACGTCCACGTTCACGTCCACGTCCAAATCCACATCCACGTCCACGTCCATGTCCACGTCAACGTCCACGTCCACGTCCACGTCCACGTCCAGGTCCACGTCCACGTCCATGTCCACGTCCACGTCCATGTCCACGTCAACAACCACGACCACGTCCATGTCCACGTCCACGACCACGTCCACCTCTATGTCCACGTCCACGTCAACGTCCACGTCCATGTCCATGTCCACGTCCACGTCCACGTCCACAACCATGTCCACGTCCACGTCCACGTCCACGTCCACGACCATGTCCATGTCCATGTCCACGTCCACGTCCACGTCCACGTCCACGTCCACGTCCACGTCTACGTCCATGTCCACGTCCACGTCCACGTCCACGTCCACGTCCATGTCCACGTCCAAGTCCTCCACGTCTACGTCCACGTCCACGTCCACGTCCATGTCCATGTCCACGTCCACGTCCACGTCCATGTCCACCTCCACGTCCACGTCCTCGTCCACGTACACGTCCACGTCCATGTCCACGTCCAAGGCCTCCACGTCTACGTCCACGTCCACGACCATGTCCATGTCCATGATCACGCAAGCTCCTGGATCACGCAAGCCCTTGGACCAGGCACGCTCCTCGACCAGGCAAGCTCCACGTCCACGTCCACGTCCACGTCCATGTCCACGTCCACGTCCACGTCCACGTCCACGACCATGTCAACGTCCACGTCAACGACCATGTCCACGTCCACGTCCACGTCCTCGTCCACGTCCACGTCCACGTCCATGTCCACGTCAAAGTCCTCCACGTCTACGTCCACGTCCACGTCCACGTCCACGTCCTTGTCCATGTCCACGTCCACGTCCACGTCCACGTCCACGTCCATGTCCACGTCCACGTCCACATCCTCGTCCACGTACACGTCCACGTCCATGTCCACGTCCAAGGCCTCCACGTCTTCGTCCACGTCCACGTCCACGTCCATGTCCATGTCCACGTCCACGTCCACGTCCACGTCCACGACCATGTCCACGTCCATGATTACGCAAGCTCCTGGATCACGCAAGCCCTTGGACCAGGCAGGCTCCTCGACCAGGCAAGCTCCACGTCCACGTCCACATCCACGTCCATGTCTACGTCCACGTCCACGTCCACGTCCACGTCCACGTCCATGTCCACGTCCACGTCCAGGTCCACGTCCACGTCCACGTCCACGTCCATGTCCACGTCCACGTCCACATCCACGTCCACGTCCATATCCACGTCCATGTCCACGTCCACGTCCCTGTCCACGTCCACGTCCACGACCACGTCAACGTCCATGTCCACGTCCATGTCCACGTCCACGTCCACGTCCACGTCCATGTCCACGTCCACGTCCACGTCCACGTCCATGTCCACGTCCACGTCCACGTCCAGGTCCAGGTCCACGTCCACGTCCACGTCCATGTCCACGTCCACGTCCACGTCCACGTCCACGTCCACGTCCACGACCACGTCCACGTCCACGTCCATGTCCACGTCCACGTCCACGTCCACGTCTACGTCCACGTCCACGTCCACATCCACGTCCACATCCATGTCCACGTCCAGGTCCACGTCCATGTCCACGTCCACGTCCACGTCCACGTCCACGTCTACGTCCACGTCCACGTCCACGTCCATGTCCACGTCCACGTCCACGTTCACGTCCATGACCACGTCCACGTCCGCGTCCATGTCCACGTCCACGTCCACGTCCACGTCGACGTCCACGACAATGTCCACGTCCACGTCCACGTCCACGTCCACCTTCACGTCCACGTCCACGTCCACGTCCACGTCCACGTCCATGTCCACCTCTACGTCCACGTCCACCTCCACGTCCACGTCCACGTCCACGTCCACGTCCACGTCCATGTCCACGTCCAAGTCCTCCACGTCCACGTCCACGTCCACGTCCACGTCCACGTCCACGTCCAGGTCCACGTCCACGTCCACGTCTATGTCCACGTCCACGTCCACGTCCACAACAATGTCCACGTCCACGTCCACGTCCATGACAATCGTGTGTTCAACCCACCGTGTGTTCCACCCACCTTCTGATCAACCCACCGTGTGTTCAACCCACCATGTGTTCAACCCACCGTGTGTTCCACCCTCCGTGTGTTCAACGCACTGTGTGTTGAACCCACCGTGTGTTCAACGCACCGTGTGTTGAACCCACCGTGTGTTCAACCCACCGTTTGTTCAACCCACCGTGTTTTGAACCCACCATGTGTTCAACCCACCGTGTGTTCAACCTACTGTGTGTTCAACCCACCTTGTGTTCAACCCACCGTATGTTCCACCCACCGTGGGTTCAACCCACCGTGTGTTCAACCCACCGTGTGACCAGCCTACCGTATGTTCAACCCACCGTGTGTTCAACCCTCCGTGTGTTCCACCCACTGTGTGTCAAACGCACCGTGTGTTGAACCCACCATGTTTTGAACACACGGTGGGTTGAACACAATGTGGGTTGAACACACGGTGGGTTGAACACACGGTGGGTTGAACACACGGTGGGTTGAACATACGGTGGGTTGAACACACGGTGGGTTGAACACACGGTGGGTTCAACACACAATGCGTTGAACACACGGTGGGTGGAACCACCTTGTGTTCAACCCACCGTGTGTTCGACCCACCTTGTGTTCAATTTACTGTGTGTTCAACCCACCGTGTGTTCAACCCACCGTGTGTTCAACCTACCGTGTGTTCAACCCACCTTGTGTTCAACCCACTGTGTGTTCCACCCACCGTGTGTTCAACGCACCACGTGTTGAACCCACCGTGTTTTTTAACCCACCGTGTGTTCAACCCACCGTGTGTTCAACCCACAATGTGTTCCACCCACCGTGTGTTCAACGCACCATGTGTTGAACCCACCATGTGTTGAACCCACAGTGTGTGTTCAACCCACCGTGTGTTCCACCCACCATGTGATCAACCCACCGTGTGTTCAACCCAGTGTGTGTTCAACCCACCGTGTGTTCCACCCACCATGTGTTCAACGCACCGTATGTTCAACCCACCGTGTGTTCAACCCACTGTGTGTTCAACCTACCGTGTGTTCAGCCCACCTTGTGTTCAACCCACCGTGTGTTCAAACCACCGTGTGTTCAACCCACCGTGTGTACAACCCACCGTTTGTTCCACCCACCATGTGATCAACCCACCGTGTGTTCAAACCACCTTGTGTTCAACCCAGCGTGTGTTCAACCCAAAGTGTGTTCAACCTATCATGTGTTCAACCCACCGTGTGTTCAACCTACCGTGTGTTCCACCCACCGTGTGATCAACCCACCGTGTGTTCAACCCACTGTGTGTTCAACCCACCGTGTGTTCCACCCACTGTGTGTTCAATGCATTGTGTGTTGAACCCACGATGTGTTGAACCCAGCGTGTGTTCAACCCACCACTGTGTGTTCAACCGACCGTGTGTTCAACATATCGTGTGTTCAACCAACCGTGTGTTCCACCCACCGTGTGATCAACCCACCGTGTGTTAAACCCGCCATGTGTTCAACCAACCGTGTGTTCCACCCACCGTGTGATCAACCCACCGTGTGATCAACCCAAGGTGCGTTGATCACACGGTGGGAGGAACACACTGTGGGTTGAACACACGGTGGGTTGAACACACGGTGGGTTGAACACACGGTCGGTTGAACACACGGTGGGTTGATCACACGATGGGAGGAACACACTGTGGGTTGAACACGCGGTGGGTTGAACACATGATAGGTTGAACACACGGTGGGTTGAACACAAGGTGGGTTGAACACACGGTGGGTTGATCACATGGTGGGTGGAACACACGGTGGGTTGAACACACGGTGGATTGCACACACGATAGGTTGAACACACGGTGGGTTGAACACACGGTGGGTTGAACACACGGTGGGTTGAACACACGGTAGGTTGAACACACGGTGGGTTGAACACTCGGTGCGTTGAACACACGGTGGGTGGAACACACGGTGGGTTGAACACACAGTGGGTTGAGTACACGGTGGGTTGATCACACGGTGGGTGGAACACATGGTGGGTTGAACACACGGTGGGTTCAACACACGGTGGGTTCAACTCACGGTGCGTTGAACACACGGTGGGTGGAACACATGGTGGGTTGAACACACCGTGGGTTGAACACACGGTGGGCTCAAAACATGGTGGGTTCAACACACGGTGCGTTGAACACACGGTGGGTTCAACCCACCGTGTGTTCAACCCACATTGTGTTCAACCCACCGTGTGCTCAACCCACCGTGTGTTCAACCTATCATGTGTTCAACCCACCGCGTGTTCAACCCACAGTGTGTTCCTCCCACCGTGTGATCAACCCACCGTGTGTTCAACCGACCGTGTGTTCAACCAACCGTGTGTTCAACCCACCGTGTGTTCGACCCAGTTGAACACACGGTGGGTTGAACCCACGGTGGGTGGAACACACGGTGGGTTGAACACAAGGTGGGTTGAACACACGGTAGGTTGAACGCACGGTGGGTTGAACACATGGTGGGTTCAACACACGGTGGGTTGAACAGACGGTGGGTTGAACACACGGTGGGTTGAACACACGGTGAGTTGAACACACGGTGGGTTCAACACACAGTGCGTTGAACACACGGTGGGTGGAACACACGGTGGGTTGAACACATGGTGGGTTGAACACACAGTGGGTTGATCAGAAGGTGGGTGGAACACACGGTGGGTTGAACACACGATAGGTCTAACACACGGTGGGTTGAACACACGGTGGGTTGAGCACACAGCCGGTTGAACACACGGTGGGTTCAACACACGATGCGTTGAACACACGGTGGATGGAACACACGGTGGGTTGAACACACGGTGGGTTGAACACACGGTGGGATCAACACACGGTGCGTTGAACACACGGTGGGTGGAACACACAGTGGGTTGAAGACAAGGTGGGTTGAACACACGGTAGGTTGAACACACGGTGGGTTGAACACAAGGTGGGTTGAACACACGGTGGGTTGAACAAACGATGGGTTGAACACACGGTGCGTTGATCACACGGTGGGTTGAACACACGGTGGGTTGAACACATGGTGGGTTGAACACACGGTGGGTTGATCACACGGTGGGTGGAACACACGGTGGGTAGAACACACGGTGGGTTGAACACACGATAAGTTGAACACACGGTGGGTTGAACACACGGTGCTTTGAACACACGGTGGGTTGAACACACGGTAGGTTGAACACATGGTGGGTTGAACACACGGTGCGTTGAACACACGGTGGGTGGAGCACACGGTGGGTTGAACACACAGTGGGTTGAACACACGGTGGGTTGATCACACGGTGGGTGGAACACACGGTGGGTTGAACACACGGTGGGTTCAACTCACAGTGGGTTCAACCCACGGTGCGTTGAACACACGGTGGGTGGAACACATGGTGGCTTGAACACACGGTGGGTTGAACACACGGTGGGTTCAAAACATGGTGGGTTCAACACACAGTGCGTTGAACACACGGTGGGTGGAACACACGGTGGGTGGAACACACGGTGGGTTGAACACACGGTGGGTTCAACACACGCTGGGTTGAACACACGGTGGGTTGATCACACGGTGGGTGGAACACACGGTGGGTTGAACACACAGTGGGTTCAACACACGCTGGGTTCAACTCACGGTGCGTTGAACACACGGTGGGTGGAACACACGGTGGGTTGAACACAGGGTGGGTTGAACACACGGTGGGTTGATCAGATGGTGGGTGGAACACACGGTGGGATGAACACACGATAGGTTGAACACACGGTGGGTTGAACACACGGTGGGTTGAACACACGGTGGGTTGAACACATGGTGGGTTCAACAAACGATGCATTGAACACAAGGTGGGTGGAACACACAGTGGGTTGAACACACGGTGGGTTGAACACACGGTGGGTTGATCACACGGTGGGTGGAACACACGGTGGATTGAACACAGGGTGGGTTGATTACACGATAGGTTGAACACACGGTGGGTTGAACACACGGTGGGTTGAACACAATGTGGGTTGAACACACGGTGGGTTGATCACATGGTGGGTGGAACACATTTTGGGTTCAACACACGGTGGGTTGAACACATGGTGGGTTGAACACATGGTGGGTTGAACACATGGTGGGTTTATCAGAAGGTGGGTGGAACACACGGTGGGTTGAACACATGGTGGGTTGAACACACGGTGGGTTGATCAGAAGGTGGGTGGAACACACGGTGGGTTGAACACACGATAGGTTGAACACACGGTGGGTTGAACACACGGTGGGTTGAACACACGGCGGGTTGAACACACGGTGGTTTCAACACACGATGCGTTGAACACACGGTGGGTGGAACACACGGTGGGTTGAACACACGATAGGTTGAACACACGGTGGGTTGAACACACAGTAGATTGAACACACGGTGGGTTGAACACACAGTGGGTTCAACACATGGTGGGTTCAACACACAGTGCGTTGAACACACGGTGCGTTGAACCCACTGTGAGTTGAACCCACCGTGTGTTCAACCCACCGTGTGTTCCACCCACCGTGTGATCAACCCACCGTGTGTTCAACCCACTGTGTGTTCAACCTACCGTGTGCTCCACCCACCGTGTGTTCAACGCACCGTGTGTTCAATCCACCGTGCGTTCAACCTACCGTGTGTTCAACCCACCGTGTGTTCAAAGCACCGTGTGTTCAACCCACCGTGTGTTCAACTTATCGTGTGTTCAACCCACCGTGTGTTCCACCCACCGTGTGATCAACCCACCGTGTGTTCAACCCACCATGTGTTCAACCCACCGTGTGTTCAACGCACCGTGTGTTGAACCCACCGTGTGTGAAACCCACCGTGTGTTCAACGCACCGTGTGTTCAACCCACCGTTAGTTCAACCCACCGTGTGTTCAACCCACCTTGTGTTCAACCCACCGTGTGTTTAACCTACCGTGTGTTCAACCCACCTTGTGTTCAACCCACCGTGTGTTCCACCCACCGT